ATGCGACCACAGGATTGGAGTGCCAAAGATATGCCTGTCAAAATCGTTGACAGCATTGAGGGGTTGAGCGACTCGCTTGATGAGAATAAGACACAGCGCTTGGTCTACACCACTTCGAGGCCTTCCGACGCCATGGAGGCCCTCGACTTGTTGAATGGTGACCCAGCAGCAAAAGGAGTAGTTTTCCTTCAGGGAAATGGTGGGCTCGACAGTGCGACTTGGCCCAAGGTCAGCAAAGCTAGGTATGAAAAAGTTGCCGGACAGCTTGGGACACGCTTGCAGCCTCGCAAAGGGTGGCTATGGCTAGTGGGCGATGTTACAGATTCAAAGGCGAGGACATGCACTGGCACACCGTATGTGGCGAAGCCTAGGACTGATTCGACAGTTGTTCTACGGTTCGTTGCTGAGAAGAAGTACAATGAAGAGGCATGGGCCAAGCTCAGCAAGGGCGCGACAAAATGTCTCAGAGATTGGTGTCTGTCAGCTACCCCTTTCGCAGCTCAGGGATGTCATGACACTTTTGCTTTTGAGATCATTGACCAGAAGATGATCAAGGGACTGATGCGAGTGGACAAGGACAAACTTGCTTATGCTTTGCTGGCAGAATCGGGAGCTTGCTACTCTCGATGTCGTTGGTTCGTGGAGAAGGTGGGACCGTTATGTTCTGAAACTTCAGTGCAGTGGATTCCGAGCAAACCCGACTGCAATGAGACCTGGATTCAGTACATTGACAGATGTCGAGGCTTGGCAGGCTCCAAAGGCCTTGTGAGAGGAAGGTATCAGCTTGGATACAGGATCCCAAATTCCGAGTTTCAACACGCTGATGTGGTTTCCAAGTGGGTGGTTGAAGGATTGCCAAAGACATTTTTGGTTCATGATGTCATTGATTTCCTTTCTTCACTCCATTTTGGGGCGATAGAGGTCGTCGAGAAGGGTTGGCGCCGACAAGGGAGTGCATGGACTGTGCGAGCCAGCAGGAATGACCGTGAAGAATTGATCCAAGGGTCAATAATGGAAGATGGCGAAGAGTATGACATCTCGATCATCAAAGCAGTTCGTCGTAAAGTGGATCGCTCAGTAAGAGTTCCTCTGAAGTCTGGAAAGGTCAGATATGGAGAGGCTATGAAAGATCGTGCCAAAGATTCCAGAGGCCCTGTTGCGCCCAAGGGAGTGGCTTTGCCCGATTCTGCTCCTCCTGCTGGGAAGTCGGGTGCGACCCCTGGCAAGAGTAAAACTGAAAAGAATGCCAACGCCGAGCATCAGCCTTCGACTCAGGGACGTGGTGCCGGTAAGGATGCCAAAGAGGACAAGGATCGTTCTCGGTCGCCGAAGAGGGATGCAAACCAAGATGAGCAGATGAGCGAATGGACAATGGGAGGCAGGAAGGTGGCAAATGCTGCTGACGGAAATTGCATGTTTTATGCATTCGCCACCTATTTGACCAGCCGTGGCCAGAAGAAGCGGACCCACAGACAGCTGAGGGCCTGGTTATGCAGCAATCTTCGAGATAACTTGGATTCGTGTGACAAGAGATGGGACAAAACGGATCACAAGGGAATGCCGACATCCAGGGACTTCAGTTGGTATGTGAGCGAGCTGGAAAAACCTGGAGCATGGGGTGGACATTCAGAGCTGCAGGTTCTTTGTGCTCTTTCTTTGGGGCCCAGAAGAGATGGAGGTTCGAAAGGATGAAGTCAACGTCCTGCGGAAGGCCAAGCTTGTTGGGAATGACCAGGAGCTTCTTACACAAGGATGGGAAAGACAAGGAGACGTCGTCATCTTCTACCTGAAGGTGCCGGACGGTGATGTCTCGTCTCTTCTGGCCAAGTCTGGCGTAGACAAGCCCGTCTTCTTGACTCAGTTGGCAAGAGACATCTCCAAGCAGGCGCCTGTCAAATTGATCGCAGCAGAAAATGGTGAGGAAGGCACAAAATACCTTGCCCGAGTACAAGCACTTGCAAAAGAAAAAGGCACCAGCTTGGCTTTCAGACGTGGAGGAGGCAGCTTCCTTGGGTTGCGTCTGGAAAAAGAAGAGGAGGGCACTGTTCAGCCCCTTTCCATTGGGGACCTGGGAAAGTTTCGCAGGTCCTCACTGACCAGAACTGGCGGTTAGAGCGTCCGCCGCAGTGGGCCAGGGGTCACTGGCTTTTCCGAGCGCCATCCAGGACGATGTCTTCTACAAGTTGCATGAGAAGGACAATTAGAAAGTGGAAAAAGCAGCGGAAAGTTGACACAAAGATCTCAGGGCCCAAGTGGTTCAAGCACATCGCTGAGGAGAGTGACGTGGTCGCGAAGTCTGGGGACGACGCTGATGATTCGCAAGTCGAGGCAACTGCCCTCGATGAGCCTTCCCAGGAGCCGAAGGCGATGAAAGTTGCGGAGGGATTCCGCGTGGGAGAAAAGAGGCCTGACAAGGCTCAAGAGGGCAACGTGACAGAGAAGCCAATGGTTGCTCCTTCTCTCCCGAAGTTGCCGGTCGTTGTGGGCGGCATCGCAGGGCCTGGAGTGGGCCACTTCAAAACCACGGCGCGTGATTTGGGAGGCTCAGGCGGGTGTGGTTGGCTGGCGCTAGCCTTTGGGCTTGCTCAGGCCAATGGAAAAACCTCGGAGGACATCATGGAAAGCAACAAGCTCGAGAACCTGGCAAAGTCCTTGCATCTCCGAGTGTGTAACTACCTGACGGACCAATGGACAGAATGGCAGCAGCAATGGAGCCCTGGAGACGTTGGAACCCACAACAAGCTCATCAACAACGTCACTGAGGCGGGGGCTCCGGCAACAAACCTCACGGAGTTTCTCGAAGTCATCAAGCGCCACAAAAGGTGGATATGTGGGCTCATGCTTGCTGGCTTTGTCAGAAGCAAGAAAGTCAATCTTGTGATCTGGACAAAAGTCCTCGACGACAATGAAGCGGTCTTGTCCTACGGCAACAGCGCCCCCACTATCGCTGTCGTGAGGCAAGGCCAACACTACTTTGGTTTGGTTCGGCCACTGCGGGGGTTCCCTGCAGCATGGGTGAGCAACAGCGAGGTTGAAGAGATCGAGTGGACGCAAAGTGACTGGCAGCTACTCAGAGGAGGTGCTGACAACGACCAATCGCCGGTCAAACTCAAAGCTTGGCGAGATGACGCATGGGTTGACGAGGCCCTGAAAACCCCAAGAACTTGAACTTGCTCCGCTGTGAAGTCTTGGGTCAATGAGGCCCTCAACACGCCCACCGAAAAGCACAAGTCCAACTCTGCGACGCTTCAATGGGGCTGCAAGTTTTGCTGCTTGAAGATTGAGGGCGTCGATGTCCGAAAGCACGCGCAGGCTGTGGTCGACCATCTCAATCGACGGCATAAAGAAGAATGTGCTGAGGAGAGGAAGAAGTGGAAGGCCGAAGGCTACTCCGGAAAGACTAGTGGCTTCGGCAAACGGAGCCTCACCGTCACTCAGAAAGTAGTGCACATCTCGAAAGGTGTTAAGCCCTGGTGGAAGTGCCCTTTTTGCTCCAAAGGCTTGCTTCACAGTGTGTCCCACAACCCGGACAAGCGTGCAAAAAGGCTCCATCTTGGAACTCATGGCAAGACTATGCTCCAAGCCTACAAGTTTGTGCAAAAGAAAGGCTGGTCAAAGAAGATGCGAACAGCGGTCATGAGCAGCAGATGGGCTGCTGCGCTCAAAAGCAACGCAAAGCTCACGGAGAGAGGCCACGACATCGAGATGACCAAGAACCCCGGCAAGAGAGGCTTCCTGCGGTTTTGCAAAAAGTGCCTTGGCATGACAAGATCGGTCAAGCAGGCTGAGGACCGTGCCTGGTACTGGCGCTGCAAACTGACCCCAAGAAAGTGCGAGAACCTGAACTACGAGACCGTCAAGACGTGGGCGGCGAGGCCAAAAGACATTAAGAAGTTCTTCGAGAAGGTCGGCTTTGAGCACGCTGAAATCGTCAAAATCCAGAAGAAGGCAAAGAAGATCGCAGAGGGGCTGTGACTCCAAACTGATGCTCCTTGGCTCTGCCTTAGGGGAGGCGCTGTCGGTTCTAGCGTGCAAACTGCAGAGTCTTTACCAAAAAGATCCACCCGGAAGAAGAATGGCTCGTTGGCTGTGCAAACCTTGAATGTTGGCACAAGGGAGGGCATGTGGAAATGGCTCAAACTTCTCGGAAAAGGCAACGATGGAATCAGTCCGCCCGATGTTGCACTCCTGCAGGGCACTTCCACTGCTAATGGTCCACACTGGGAGGCTGTCGAGTGCTACATGGCTGCTAGAGGTTTTCGGAGTTTTCTCAAAGAAGGCGAGACCATGAAGAATCGATGGGGTCAAGATGTTGCTGGAAGAGGGGGAGTCTGCGTTTTTGTACAAAAACAATGGTTTGCAAAGTTCTTCTCTTGTGGGCAAGACGATGGCTTTGAGTGGCTCGCTGTCACTGTGGGAAACACGTTGGTCATTTCCGCTTATTGCCATCCCTTTGGCTGTGCTCCGATTTGGAAAATTTGGTTCATCATACATGGCATGGTCCTTGGATTTGTGGCGGGGACTTCAATGTCTCTTTTAAGTCTTCGTGCTGGCCCTCCTTCCTTAACCCCATGCGCGGCGTCAAAGTTGAAGAGGCCGAGGGCTTGACTCGTACCCGATGGGGTGGAAACGAGGTTATTGATTATTTTCTTTGTGAGGAAGGTATGAACCCTCTCTGCACTATTGCCAGGGAGGAACATGTTTCTGATCACATGATCCTGGAAAACGTCTTCGAAGTCTCGCGCAAACCCTGTCACGATCTGGCTCTCAACTTTGTCGAGTCTTGGGACAGGCCTAGTTGGATCTCCGCCAAAGATTGGCGAACTATCCTCCAGTTGACCTGGGAAAGAGGTGAACGGCAAGGCTGGCAACCAGTCCTTAACTTTGTGGAGGAAATCGGTCCCGCCATCAGCCAAGCCGGTGAACAAGATGACCAGGCTTTTGTGGATCGTTACTGGACCATCTTTCAGGCCAAACTCTCCACTGTCTTTTCTGACGCCTACAGCATTGCTCTACAGAACATGCCTGGCGATTTGAGTCACACTTGCAAAGATATCTTGCGCGTTGGCAATGTCCTGAAGAAGCTACATTACAAGTTGGGTGCGACATCTGTGAAAAAGCACAACAAAGCAAAAATCTTCGAGCCGACCTGCGTGAAGGTGCGGAAAAGACTGGGCAGATGTTGCGAACTAAAGTGGAAGATCAAAAAGCACCCCGACAAAGCTGGACACGTTTGATGAAGTCAGAATCCGTGGGACGACCGGTGGTTTCCGAGGGGTTTGAGTGTTCAATTTCCCACTGAGAAGGGCGTTGGACAAGAGCTCCACAGCTGCGTCACGTTGAGTGCTGGTCCATGCCACTTGCTTCCAGAGCTCCTTCCAGTGATCATTGATCAAAGACATCTCCTCACTTGCAGACTGAGCTTGACGCTTTCCATCATTGGAAGTGAGGATGGCCTGTGAATGAGGGCGCATTCCTCTCTTTATCCAGGCACCCCGATCAGAGGCGCTTCCGTTCATTGTCTCTTTCCAAGCTTGAAGTTGTAAGAGGCGAAGGTCACTCTCACAAAGCCGAAGGTCTTCACGGACAGCCTCTTCTTCTGCTTCAACCTCTTCCACGACGTGGTCTTGGCAGCCCGGAAAGGGGCCAGGGAAAAGTCTGACCCAGAGCTTGGCGGCCTCATCTGATTGCGGCCCAGACGGCTGGCGTCCAGAGGAGCTCATCCACCTCCCTGCTCAGGCCTCTCCGAGGCTTGGAGCCTTATGTGTGAGTGGGAAGTCGTCGGGATCATCCCTACGGCTCTCAAGAGTTCGCGAATCGTCCATGTCAGGAAGGAGGCCAAGATCACCAACCCCCTATCGCAGTTTCGTCTGTCTGGGTCAGGGCTTGGAGTTCCACTTAGATTCGATGTAATGCAGTTAAGGCTTGGAGAGAGCAGTTCCTTCCCAGGTGGGTGGCTGGGGGTCCCGGCAGCATCTCTGCTGAAGTCATCGCTGGCCTGATTGACAAAGAGCTTGAAGAAGGGTGCTACATTGGCACACTTGATCTCAGGCAAGCCTTTGACTGTGTTGACACAAAGCTGATCGGTGACACTTTGAAGAAACTGGCGCCGGCTCATCTCCAAGGTTGGCTACATGTTTATGTGGGCTCCGAGCGATGCAGTCTGCGTGGTGCAAATGGTCTGCGCACTTCCATCTCCTTGAGCATGAGGAAAAAGCACAGTTTGCACATCGCAGTGACCCCTCTCTTCAACCTTCCGCTGAGATTTTGGGCTGTTATGTTGGAGTTGCCACATGCCAGCCAAAAAGTGACACCCGGCGCTCGGATGCCCTACTCTGCCTTGGCCGCATTGCCAGTCTCCCACGAAATCTTTGGGAGCGCCTCGCAGACATCAACACGTTTGCTCTGAGTAAGGTCAATTACGGTTTGGTTGCTGGACTTCCACCTCCTGTCCTCTTGCATGAGTTCGACACTAAGATTTGGAAAGCAGTTGGCCGTACCGGATATGGTGTCAAGCCGCTGAGGTCTGTCATTGCAGGTGCTACACGCCTCTGGGGTTCTACCGTCATCTGGAGGACCTTGGCCCTCTCGAGGAGAGTCAAAGCGGAAAGACTTCCAACCTCGATGCCATGGTTCGTCAGGTCATGATGGATCTCGGGTGGGAGAATGACGATGTTGATAGCGCCGTCTGGGCTCATCCAGAACTGGGTCAAATTGATGTCGGCAACTTACAGGCAGAGCATTGGCACACTCTCCGGGAAAGCTGGAGACGGAAAATGTATGGCGCCCTCACAGGCGCAAAGAGGCATGAACTTCGCGATGAGATCATCCCTGTCTATTCTGAGGTTTTAGTCTCGAGCGTCCGAAAGAAGGCGCAGAGTTTAGGCACCTTGGGCTTCATCCTGGCCACTGGATGCATCGTGAGTGACTACACGCGTCAGCTTTGTAAGGGTGGCAACAGCAAATTCAAAGTTTGTGGTGCTCAGGACCATTTTTTCGAAGAAAGACTGCAGTGTGCTGGACTTGCTATAGAGGCTGATACCAATGTTCTGCTCAGAAGATTTGGCTGGGAAGCTTCAGGACAAAGGCTGCAAATGATGGCTGCTGCCTATCACTGATAAGAGTTTTCCTTGTCGGGCCGGATGTTCGATTGCCTGCCGCGGTAGCGTCTTGCAATACAAAGTTCCTGGCCAGCTTCATCTACCCCATCATCGTCGCGTGGTCCTGGGGCGGTGGCTGGCTGGCCACCGTTCTGGATGTGGGTTGCGAGTCTGCAGTTTGTAGCACCATGGGCGTGTGGGCAAGTGGGCGTGTGTGCGTGTGTGCGTGTGTGCGTGTGTGCGTGTGTGTGCGTGTGCGTGTGTGCGTGTGTGCGTGTGTGCGTGTGTGCGTGTGTGCGTGTGTGCGTGTGTGCGCACCATCTGTTTGATTGCTGTCCCATCGCAGCTTCCACAAAGCGACAGTGGATCTACCACTGTGCGAATAGCTAATGCATGATACTAGCTGCTCTAGGTCAAATCGATGCCTGCCGTTCTTGCTGAGGATCTTTGGCACCTGCGTGTCGTTGATGATGTAAGATCAATATGGCCATGGCGTAGGGTGAATGGTGTAGACTGCTTGCGGTAGTCTGTGCCTGGGTGTGCCCCACGACCATGAACCAGGTGGTAGCGTACGCACACATTTAACATGAACACCATGAGGCGTTCGTGTTCGATTTCGGTTCATCCATCTGTTTAGTGATGCCATCAGAAAAGATAAGCTGTCCAAGTGCTTCTGCGCTGCTTCCTTGTAAACACGCGCAAACACCATCTCCTGAACTAGCAGACGTAGCAGATCGCAGCAGTTTAGGTCAGGCTTTGGGCGGGGGATGTAAAGGTTGCCAACCTCCTATCGTCGACCTTGAATATGAGCTTGCGCTTGTGTAGCTTCTCGGTGCATATGGTCAAGCAACCTGGGAAGCGCGTTATGTTTAGCAGGACGCATAAGACTCCAAACGAAGCTTTGTCAGGCCCTGTTCTTTCTTTCTTTCTGACTCTCAGTTTTCTTCCTTCTTTCTTTCATGTCTTTCGTTCTTTCTTTCTTTCTTTCTGTCTTTCTTTCTTTCTTTCTTTCTTTCTGTCTTTCTTTCTTTCTTTCTTTCTTTCTTTCTTTCTTTCTTTCTTTCTTTCTTTCTTTCTTTCTTTCTTTCTTTCTTTCTTTGTGTGTGTGTGTGGGGTAGCAATGGCGACCATGCCCAAACACTGGTATTTAGAGCGTTTATACAACGTACGAAAGGTTCTGGGTTTCACGATTTCGAATCAGGGTTGAGGACGGCAGGCAAGTACCCCCCCCCCCCCCCGAGACCCTTAAACCCGAAAAAGTAGCCTAAACACAGGGTGCGTTAGGGCGCCTAACCTAATTGTAAACGCTTGCGCGCGCCGCCTCGGCAGCCGGAGGAAAGGAGGAAAGAGGGTTTCGCAAAAAAAGGGGAGGAAGAGCAGCGGGGTTAGGGGGGGGGGGGTGGGGGGGGGGGGGTGGAGGGGGAGGGGGAGGGGGGGGAGGGGGGGGGGGCGGTGGGGTGGGGGGGTGGGGGGTTTTGAGGCACTTCCCTGTAGGTTTCGGGGGGGGGGGTCCGACAGGTGGGGGGGGGTCGGGTCACAAAATTTTTGCATGGGAAAAAGGGCCGGGTTGGGGGAAGGAGGCCCGATCCGGGTCTGCTTGTTCCAAACGCTTCTCGGCAGGAAGCCGAGGCGAATTTGACGCCTCGATAAGTGAGGTTACATGGACTTTGCCGGCAGTGGTGTGGTGCACCTGACTGGCGGCGTGAGCGCATTGGCAGGCACCATAGTGCTCGGCCCACGCAAGGGCCGCTTCGTGAATCCGGAGGAGTTCGAGTGCCACAACTTGCCCCTCGTCGTCTTGGGTACCTTTGCGCTGTGGTTCGGCTGGTACGGCTTCAACCCGGGCTCCACGCTCGGAATGCACGACGGAGCTACGGGTGCTATGGCCGCGCAAGTGGCCATGAACACAACCCTGTCCGCGGCCACCGGCGGCATCACTGTGTTCATTCTGCGCTATTTCATCATGAAGAAGTACGACGTGGGTGGCCTGTGCAACGGTATCCTGGCAGGTTTGGTGTCCATCACTGCCGGATGCGGCAACGTGGAGTGCGGCAGCGCCTTTGCCATCGGCCTGATTGGTGCCTTGGTGTACCAAGCCTCGTCCATGCTGCTGCAGAAGCTGAAGATCGACGACCCTGTCGATGCCAGTCCGGTGCACGGCTTCTGCGGCATCTGGGGCGTGCTGGCAGCCGGACTCTTCGACTGGGGTAAGGGTGTTGACCACTACCACGGCTGGTCAGGCTTTGGCTGCATGCCAGTGAGCGCATCGGACTCTACTTGCCAGACAGGCATTGGCGGCACTGCGATCGGTGCGCAGTGCATCCTGATCATCATGGTCATCCTTTGGGCCGGAACGCTCTCAGGGATTGCCTTCTTCGCTCTGAAGATGACAGGGCTCTTGCGTATCGACGAGTACACGGAAGAGGTCGGCATGGACGTCAAGCAGCACTCTCCCCCGAAGGCTTATGCCATTGGGGCTTCTGCTGCTTCTGCTGCTGGGCCATCTGTGTGAACTGAGGTGAACTGCAATGCTGCGGTGTTCAGAGCCACTTGACATTTCCAGGAGTGGAGCTCCTTGCATGCCGTGTGATGGTGGGGATGTTCAGTTCTGCTCACAACCAACATTCAATGTTGAAGTCAAGGGAGCTGATAGGACAAGTGTGGCACCATCACTAGTATGAGCTGGCTCAGTATCGCGCGTGATGCTCAAGCCTACTATATACCCATGTCTTGCTATATACTTGCGTGAGCTGCTGAAGCCACAGTACTGTCGCCTTGTCCGAAGAGAATCTCGGAGAAAGCACACCAGGAGTGCAATGGACCTCTCCTGGCAGAGAAACCTTCAATATCACGGAGCCTGGACATGATTGCATAGAATGGCTATATGATCCAATGACCCGGCGCCGTGTCTCGAACCCTGCTGGTACTGGATATGTGAACGTCTCAAACTTTGTAGACACGTGCAATTTTTGAAGAACCCTGCCTTATGCCAGCAGCCAGCACGGCTTTGCATCAAGCAGAATTGCTTGGCACTGTGTCGCTGGATGGTGTGTGTTCAAGTGGCCTTTGGCTCAAGACTCACCGACTTCAGCCAGTACTTCTATTGCAGATTGTCGCCATATATGCTATGAGTTATGAGTCCTTTCAACCTCTGTGACTTGACTGACGTATATTTATAAGCCTGCACTTTTCGCCATGGCTGACGCAACCCTCAAGGCCCGGACAATATTTCGGCAGTGCACTTTCCGTGACTACGCCCTTTTACAGGCTTTGCGGAAGAAGCTGGGTGACATCGAGGACTGTTTTTCGCTGTTCGGATGATCGGATGATTCGGATGTCGCTATGTAGGAAGTACCTGAAATGTCAGTGGAAAGCATGGACAGCAAGCAATACAATAGCCGAGGCAACATGTCTACAAATCCTGAGCCCATCTCTGCTTCCGCTGCAACCTGTTGCACGTAGCCGATAGTGATGGAGGACGAGCTCGATGAGGCCACAGAAGCCAAGGCCAGCAAAGGAGCCTTCCATAGCGACATATAGCGACATTCCGGAGCATGGTGCTATTTGAGTCGTGCATGTAGAAGACAGACCTTGGAACCCACAGCCGAGCTGCTTCAATCGCGATGTTATGCTGCTTTGAACTTGAGCTCCGGTGCTGGTTCTCGTACTTGGAGCCGGGACTGCTTCTTCTACATGCCTGCGGGCTTCCGTCGTGCATTCTGGGTCAAATCTCGTCACTTTTCACGCATACCATGGCCAATGATTTGTACTCCCTATCCTATAGCTTCTGTGCCGCCTTCAATAGCGAAGGAGTTAGCTGGTTTGTCTTGCGACGCCCTCAGCAGCAAGGGCGTAGCCTATGAAAGATTGCAAGCAGGTGCCCCTGCGGGGCAGCCTGTTCCTAAAACAAAGCTCAAGGTGCAAATGGCTTTCAGGTTATCAAGAGTTGATTGGCGAAAGCAGCGGGCGCGCCAAAGCGACCACACTCATGTTTCGTCCAGATCTGAACGGGGCTCTAGGTACACAGAGCCTGTTTGGAATAATCCTGTGCGAAAGGCCTCGGTACAACAATCATTTCAGCAAGTATCTAAAATCTAGGCTCATCAACATGCATCGTGAAGAATTCAAGGCACTGCGTGTTAACAATCTGGTTCCAAATGCTCACGAAGTCTTCGGAGACCATGTCACACGGCACCTCTGTGTTGCACCTGTTGCACATTGCACAGGCCGAGCTGGAAAAGCAGGTGAATAGCCTGACAGCAGCTCTGGAGGCAAAAAGCCTGTGGTTGCAAAGTCCAAACGTGGCAATGCCGTGCAGCATCGAAGCATCGCTATTGCACCGAGTTCCAGGCCGCGAGAGGAGACGAGCTGCAAGCTGCTTTGCGAGATCTGCAGGCCTGTCGCAATCTTAAAGGACACCGCCAGAGCGCACACTTTTTTTTGTGCGAGGTCCGGCACGAGTCCGAGCGGCAGCCTTGGCTTGCTCCTGTGTGCTCGCAGGCACTGGTGCACAGTGACAGCACAGGCTGCAGGAAGCGAAATCAGTGCAGGAAAAGCTCGAGCAGGCTTGTACAAGCTGTCGTGCTGTCTCTCCTGCATCATGACATAGGCATGCCATGCATGCCGATAGGATGCCGAGCAAATCTCCCCAGACATTCAAGCCGCAGGCGCTGAGCTCCAATGCAGACCTGGAGGCCACGTGGGCCAAGCGGCTAAACGCGATGGCAAACAGCACGGTGATGCTTGAAGCCTTCAGGCCAAGGTTGCCGAATTGCCGCAACCTTTGCTTCAAAAAATGCCACCTGTTCCAGCTCTATGTCGAGCAGCTGAGGCAAGCGGGAACCACGAGTCCTCAAGCAGATGCGGATGGGCAGTGCGCTTAAGTGCGCTTACAAGGATCCATGTAGATCGTAGTAGCTTCTGTCGAGCTGGGAAGAGCTGGGACATGTATGATCAGCCGAAGTTGAGGCCACTTGCTGAAGAGCGACAACGCGCCGAAAAGCTGCCCCTAGTGGCATGCTTGCCGCTGTGGTGTGGATGCCCTGTGGAAAATGCGATGGCTATCCGACTGACAACTCCTGTGCCGGGATCCGTTCGATTGAAGTACGGAGCAACCAGATGCCAGGCAAGCAGAGGTGCAGGAGCTGAGTGCCCGAAACTCTGCCCTGGAGGCACACCGGGTGTAGCGGGGAAGTGCTGCCCTTTCTGTGTTCTCATGCGTTCTCTCGTTTACGGCCGTGCGTTGCGGTGCACGTCACCAAAGGAGCAGCTGGTGCTCGCCTCAGTGGAGCCTTCCATGGCCCTGCGATGTCTTGCGATACGTCCTGCGACATGCTGCGACGTCCTGCGACGTACCCGTTGGCCCTTGCCGTCCCTGGTTCTGGAAGCATCCGGAAGCCTTTGGCTCAATAGCGCTTTTCGGTGGCTGTGTGCTACGGCCTCAAGGAGCAGTGCCTGGCGAGCTACAGTCTGGGACGATGCACAAAATTACAATGTTGGGGTGGGGTTGGGAGGGGTTTGAGGCAACGGCCGAAGTACATTGTTCGCGTCAGGAAATACAATTCCACCACCCATGAGGAGAAATGCAGAAGACACATCCGGGATCCTTACCTTTGGGAAGGGATGGCTCCGCGGCTTCCCCTCCCCACCCCCTCCCGTCCTGAGTTGGGGCATTCCCTCATCAGGCAACGTCGCAGAACCCGTCTGACATTTTCGCCCAAATCTGTTTCAGGATCTATGGGTGTTTTTTTCGTCAGTCAAAGTGTCTTGCTCACATCGACTGGTTATGGACGTTGCGCACTCATTTTTTGTGCGAGGTCCGGCACGAGTCCGAGCGGCAGCCTTGGCTTGCTACTGTGTGCTCGCAGGCACTGGTGCACAGTGACAGCACAGGCTGCAGCAAGCGAAATCAGTGCAGGAAAAGCTCGAGCAGGCTTGTACAAGCTGTCGTGCTGTCTCTCCTGCATCATGACATAGGCATGCCATGCATGCCGATAGGATGCCGAGCAAATCTCCCCAGACATTCAAGCCGCAGGCGCTGAGCTCCAATGCAGACCTGGAGGCCACGTGGGCCAAGCGGCTAAACGCGATGGCAAACAGCACGGTGATGCTTGAAGCCTTCAGGCCAAGGTTGCCGAATTGCCGCAACCTTTGCTTCAAAAAATGCCACCTGTTCCAGCTCTATGTCGAGCAGCTGAGGCAAGCGGGAACCACGAGTCCTCAAGCAGATGCGGATGGGCAGTGCGCTTAAGTGCGCTTACAAGGATCCATGTAGATCGTAGTAGCTTCTGTCGAGCTGGGAAGAGCTGGGACATGTATGATCAGCCGAAGTTGAGGCCACTTGCTGAAGAGCGACAACGCGCCGAAAAGCTGCCCCTAGTGGCATGCTTGCCGCTGTGGTGTGGATGCCCTGTGGAAAATGCGATGGCTATCCGACTGACAACTCCTGTGCCGGGATCCGTTCGATTGAAGTACGGAGCAACCAGATGCCAGGCAAGCAGAGGTGCAGGAGCTGAGTGCCCGAAACTCTGCCCTGGAGGCACACCGGGTGTAGCGGGGAAGTGCTGCCCTTTCTGTGTTCTCATGCGTTCTCTCGTTTACGGCCGTGCGTTGCGGTGCACGTCACCAAAGGAGCAGCTGGTGCTCGCCTCAGTGGAGCCTTCCATGGCCCTGCGATGTCTTGCGATACGTCCTGCGACATGCTGCGACGTCCTGCGACGTACCCGTTGGCCCTTGCCGTCCCTGGTTCTGGAAGCATCCGGAAGCCTTTGGCTCAATAGCGCTTTTCGGTGGCTGTGTGCTACGGCCTCAAGGAGCAGTGCCTGGCGAGCTACAGTCTGGGACGATGCACAAAACTACAATGTTGGGGTGGGGTTGGGAGGGGTTTGAGGCAACGGCCGAAGTACATTGTTCGCGTCAGGAAATACAATTCCACCACCCATGAGGAGAAATGCAGAAGACACATCCGGGATCCTTACCTTTGGGAAGGGATGGCTCCGCGGCTTCCCCTCCCCACCCCCTCCCGTCCTGAGTTGGGGCATTCCCTCATCAGGCAACGTCGCAGAACCCGTCTGACATTTTCGCCCAAATCTGTTTCAGGATCTATGGGTGTTTTTTTCGTCAGTCAAAGTGTCTTGCTCACATCGACTGGTTATGGACGTTGCGCACTCATTTTTTGTGCGAGGTCCGGCACGAGTCCGAGCGGCAGCCTTGGCTTGCTACTGTGTGCTCGCAGGCACTGGTGCACAGTGACAGCACAGGCTGCAGGAAGCGAAATCAGTGCAGGAAAAGCTCGAGCAGGCTTGTACAAGCTGTCGTGCTGTCTCTCCTGCATCATGACATAGGCATGCCATGCATGCCGATAGGATGCCGAGCAAATCTCCCCAGACATTCAAGCCGCAGGCGCTGAGCTCCAATGCAGACCTGGAGGCCACGTGGGCCAAGCGGCTAAACGCGATGGCAAACAGCACGGTGATGCTTGAAGCCTTCAGGCCAAGGTTGCCGAATTGCCGCAACCTTTGCTTCAAAAAATGCCACCTGTTCCAGCTCTATGTCGAGCAGCTGAGGCAAGCGGGAACCACGAGTCCTCAAGCAGATGCGGATGGGCAGTGCGCTTAAGTGCGCTTACAAGGATCCATGTAGATCGTAGTAGCTTCTGTCGAGCTGGGAAGAGCTGGGACATGTATGATCAGCCGAAGTTGAGGCCACTTGCTGAAGAGCGACAACGCGCCGAAAAGCTGCCCCTAGTGGCATGCTTGCCGCTGTGGTGTGGATGCCCTGTGGAAAATGCGATGGCTATCCGACTGACAACTCCTGTGCCGGGATCCGTTCGATTGAAGTACGGAGCAACCAGATGCCAGGCAAGCAGAGGTGCAGGAGCTGAGTGCCCGAAACTCTGCCCTGGAGGCACACCGGGTGTAGCGGGGAAGTGCTGCCCTTTCTGTGTTCTCATGCGTTCTCTCGTTTACGGCCGTGCGTTGCGGTGCACGTCACCAAAGGAGCAGCTGGTGCTCGCCTCAGTGGAGCCTTCCATGGCCCTGCGATGTCTTGCGATACGTCCTGCGACATGCTGCGACGTCCTGCGACGTACCCGTTGGCCCTTGCCGTCCCTGGTTCTGGAAGCATCCGGAAGCCTTTGGCTCAACAACCCACTGTGGAGACATGCTGTCACTAGTTTGGGAGCTGGAGCGTGTGGCTGCGTATGAAGATGCATGCAGCTGAGTCAGCATCACAGTCTGACGCTTTCCTGCATGTGCTTTGAGGTTGCAGATGCAGAGCGTCAGCACTCCGAGTTGCGAGAGCTGCGAGAGGTTCGCGCTGTGATGGTCCGTGGACAGCTCACAGCCTTTCGAATCTTGTGAGTTGAGCAGAGGGCGGGAAGAGATCTTGAGTAAACCTTTGAACCTTGTTGCAGGTGCTGGAGCAAGATCGTCAGAAGCAGCAGGGCGCGTGACCCGATGTGGCCGAGTGTTTTCCAGTATTAGGAGCCTTTCGTGATGAGCCTTGTGAGGGCCTTCTAAACCGGACGACTGAACCCCTAGGCCTTGAAGCAGAGCTTGAAGAGCTGCGCAGGTGGCCGTTGAGTCAAAACGTCGCAACGTCAACAGTTTGCGGCACGCCAGTGCGTACTGAAAGCACGCCAGGAGAAGTTCCGCTCTTGGTGATCTGGAGGGCACCGTGGAGAAGCTGCGTGCGGAGCGAGAGGTGCGAAGTCTGCTAAGGACTAGGATCACTTGGAGCTCTGAAGAAGCATAATTCGATGGATCGCACCATCTTGTGACTCGCAGCTGTGATGGAGGTAGATGGGGCAGAGCATGCGACCCAGGTAGAGTTTCAGCCTTGCTTTCACATCTGGAGCTGCGTTCGAATTCGGGAAGCGGGTGTAGAGTCCCCGTCTTAATTGTAAAGACTGCCGGCAAGATGACAAGAAGGAACTGCCACCTGCAAGACACGAACAGCAAGTAAACGCAAAACCTGCAAGAAAGGGACACGTAGCAACAGCTACTCCGCAGATTGCACGTAGAGATTAGAGCCACAGAGCTGTGCTGTTGAGGCGCGAACGCCTCTCTCGAGTGTGCCAAGAGCTGGAATCCGAAGCTGGGCTTGGGAAGATGGAAGGCTCGGGAAGATGGAAGGCTTGGGAAGATGGAAGGAGGAAGGAGATCGGAGTAGAAGTATGTGTTGAGATGGCCAAGGACCGGGACATGGCCCTCCTGTCATGGTTTCTGTGATCGCTGTGTTCTGCTGTGTGGTTCTGTGTGTTTTTGTAAGTGGAACTCTTGTGTGTGCCGTGAAGCCACTCTGTGAGGCGTTGGAGCGCATGCAAGCAGCCGAGCGCCATGCTGCCACCCAGTCCAGTAGCCTCGAGGCTCTCAAGTCGTAGTGTCGCTGTGTCATCGATGCTTCCTCTTAGACTTATACGAGACCTTATCTTAGATGCTCTTACTCAATTGACGCATGTGATCCGAAGTCTCCAAATATGCACCAGTGCAGGCAAATCTAAGACGCCATGTTGAATGTTTGCACGGCTTCCAGGAAATGCAGCGCGCTAAAGCAAGCGAGGTGCGATGAGTGTGGGATGATGTCGAAACTCGCAACATGTCTGGAGAAGATTGCTATTTCTTGTGCTTAGTAGCATTTATGCTTCATAGAGACTAGGGGGGATGTTGCCAGACGTTGCCAGGCTGTCCGAGTGGATGCTCTGGCCAAAGAGCGGGAGGCAGCAACGGGAACTCAGGAAGTGTCCGTTTGGGGCTTCCTGAGGTGAGCTGCAACATCCGCTGTTCCGAGTCGCATTCATCGGTTCAAGACCACACTCAAACCCACACCAGAACATACGAGAACATGCTTCACATGTGCAAATGGCCTTCCCGGTGGAGAGAGAGGGAGAGCATGCTACGTCAAAAAGAAAAAAGAAAGGTCACCACATACCACAACCCAGCTAGCCTGTCCAGTTACTCACAGAGGCCTAGACCTCATGCAACAAATTCTGAAACATGCTTGCCGTCAGCGTCACATGGTCGCGAGCTAGTAGGCCCGGTGCCGTTCGGGCTGCCTTGAATTGTGAGATTCTTGCTTGCAGACTTGCACAGGTTGCCCTGCGGATACATCCGCCATGCTGCAGACCTGCGCCGAGAATGCTCCTGACATGTCACGCAGACGCGGTTCTCTCACGTTCCCCCCACCTAGGTTGTTGCAGCTCAGAGCCGGTCGTGGCCCCGAGGAATACGCTCTCGGCACATCTCAGAAGACACGGTTCCTGGAGGAAGCTCTTTTCTTTACGCCCCAAGGTGGCCCGAGCAAAGCCTCATCTTCGAGCCTGTCTGGGAGCCGCAGCCGATGAACATCCTGCATGGACTTGGGGTGACTTTCATGAACTCGGTCTCATGACATGGGTCCATCGTGTGAGCCAGGCAGTTGAGGATCATGCATTATGCGCCGCTGTGAAGCAGTTCAGTGAGTCAAGTGAGGGCATGGAGCTCCGCATGCAGGCATGTTCTGCTCGGCATATGGCCTGCATATGGCTGTAAGGAACATGTTCGAAACGTTCTTCGTCCTTCGTGAGGCTTGGCGGCTTGGGCCTGTTGCCGTTTGTTGCTGAACAACCAGACAGCAAACACACAGCTAACAAGATGACACACCTGCAGTTCTTGCACGCATCAACTACTGCTGTTTCATGTGGATGCAGTTTGATTGAGACAGCGTCTTCAGCTGCTGGTCTTGCCCGTTGCTGCTCATGTTGCAGTGCCTACATGCCCGACGCGGGTTGTAACCTTGCACCTCTGCCCTGTGACCGGTGTTTACATGCAGAGCTGAGTCGGGCCAGGCTAGGCAGCGAGTCGTCGGCGGGCAAATGTTTCAAGATGTTGACAGTGGGACTCCCGGCAGCAGTTTGCACCGGCGACTTTCCGCAACACCATGCAATTCACTGTCATTCAGTTGCTGAGACTACTCAGGCTTCAACCTGCGTTTCATGGATCGCTTCATTGCCTTTCATGCTGAGGCATCCTTCCACTTCGGTTTACCTCACCGTTTGTTCGGGGTGGCTTTCAGAAGGCTTCCCCAAATGTACTTATAGAGCCTGTAGGACCCAGGACAGTGCCGTCATACCCTTAGCGCTCCACTTGAAGTCGTTCTGGCCTTGTTCCGGAGTATCTCGGCAAGGTAGTACCGGCTGCTTGCGGCTCAAGCTTAGGGCTGGGGCTGGGTCCACTTGCATGGTCGTCACCTTGCCAGGTGCCGCATTTTGTGAGGACAGCCTTGCATTTTCTCGGAGATGCTTTATGTGATTTTATGTTTGCCCCGGTTTAAGCCCAATTTGCCCTCCAGGATGCCGATTCCTTGGACTTTGCTCGGCGCTTGGCAGGCGCTGGCTGTACTGGCCGAACCTGCAGTGGAGGTGCCATGCAGTGACGGCGCAGACTCTGGCCCCTTAGGGTGACTGCGTTGCAGATGGTTTCGCCCTTTACCTGTGGCAGGTACATATTGTTGCCCACACACACGATGATGTGGGATGGCTCAAAACCGTTGATGAATACTATACGGGTCAGAACAATTCGATCCAGATCCTTGGCCTGAACTTTGTCCAGGTTTGTTGTACACCCTGTGCAGGAGCCGACTACATCCGACCACACTGGTTCAACAGAACGTTTGGTGCTTCGCCAGGCACGCCTACGTGCACATGATCCTGGACACAGTGGTTCGCTGCTTGGAGCAGAACCCGAACCGGACCTTTACCTACGTTGAGCAAGCACCTTGGACGTAAAAGTGCGGATTGAAAGCTTTCTGACCATGTCTGAACCATCGCCTGAAAAGCTGCTGCAAGAGAGCGAGCGATGAACATAATGTGGGGGTTTGCGATAAAAAGGAGACCCCTAGTATACACTGAAATAAGGTGCCCCTAATAACAATACCGCAAACCCCCACATGATGATGTGAGCCAAAGAGGCCTTCTTCGTGCGATGGTGGAGGCAGCAGGATGATGCCACCCGGGCGCTAGTGAAGCGCCTCGTGAGCTCCGGACAGTGACTGGACTATCGGATTATCGCATCGGATAGGGGATAAGGCGGCTGTCATAGGCTGAGTCCTTTTCTCTGTCTTCTGCTTCCCCCCCCCCCGCTCCTCCCCCTTCCCTGAGCCTCTGCCAGCGGAAAGGTTGGAGTTCACCAATGGTGGTTGGTGTATGCACGATGAAGCGGCGCCGCACTTCCTGGACATGCATAGCGTGCCAGAGCAGACCGTGCGTACTGCAGGTGATTTAGGATGAAGATGTTGTGCACTCCAGATCACTCCAGGACATGATTGACCAGACAACATTGGGGCACAAGTTCCTCATGGACGAGTTTGGTGTTGCTCCACGGATGCCTGGCAGCTGTCAATGCTGCAACGTGTCTGTCTGTTTGTGTGTGCGCTTCCTTTGCTGAAGCGCTTCAGAAGCGCCCTTGCCGTCATGCCCATGCGCTACGGAGGTTAGCATCGTCATTGTCTAAGGACCGGTTGGCAGCTGGACCCCTTTGGGCACTCAGCCACACAGGCTGCGCTCCTCTCCGCAGAAGTTGGCTTCCAAGGGCTCTTCTTTGGTCGCATTGACTACCAGGACTGAGAGACGGACACGGACCGCCGAACTTGAAACATGAGTTCGCTTTCACGTTTTAATCTCCAGGACATCGCCTTGCGTCGGGAGAAGAAGGAGGCAGAATTCGTGTGGCGGGCTTCTCCATCCCTGGGTTCGCTCGCACAAGTCTTCACGGGCCTGACAGGCGCGCAGCAATTGAATTCTAAACCTGCGTAGATAGCCGGCCAGGGACAAGGATTAAGGAGGTCGTCTGTTCTTTTGCCCCAAACGCCTTAGGCCTGGGGTCTCGGTTGGTGCATTTTTGATGTGCTACCCGGTTATCCTGTGGCCCATGCTTTAACACCTGTTTATTATGTAGGACAGGTTTATGCTTGTCTTTCTACGCAGAGTGTGGCCGATGGTCTGCTTGGCAGGCGAGTATGGAGGCAACTACGGGCCACCAAGCGGTTTTGACTGGGACGTGGGCAATTCGGATGAGACCATCCAGGATGACCCAGCACTGGAGGATACACGCTGCAAGTAGTGCAGGCTCACGGTCGCTATTTTTGGCGCGAGTCACATGCCAGCTCAGGATTACAACGTGAAGTCGCGCGTGGAGGACTTTGTCAAAGCTGCTATGGATCAGGCAAATGAAACACGCGGCCGCCACATCATGATGACGATGGGCTCCGACTTCCAGTATGAGGATCAAGCCTTTTCAGACGGTTGATAGCACTTTGCCCTCATGTGTTCTAGCACGTCATCCTCTGGCCCTTTTAGGATGCCTTCACTTGGTTCTACAACCTGGACAAGCTCATCCAGCACGTCAATGCGGACGGCCGTGTTCACGTGTTCTACTCAACCCCAGGCAGGTACGTGGACGCCAAGAAGAGCGAGCAGATCACGTGGCCGCTGAAGGCGGGGAAAGGAGGTGTGACAAAGATGGGGTAGCAAGGGGCTACGAACGAATTATTGAAAAGTCCATATGACCCAGAGGAGGACGATTTTTTCCCCTACGCCGATGGACCCCACCAGTTCTGGACTGGATATTTCACATCCCGACCGGCATTGAAGAGATACATTCGAGACACCAGCGCCTTCTTCCAGGCGCCAGGGCCACTTCACTGAACTTCACTGTTTGTCATCGGGCTGAGTCTGCACCGCATGCAAGGTGGCCAAGCAGATCAGCGCCATCGCAGGTCCAACGTCTGAGGATGGAATTGAGAAGTTGGCGGAGGCGAGTTGGGGGCCTTTCTGAGCCCGTGAAGAGAGAGAGGTTGTTGATCCTCTGCAGGCAATGGGAGTTGCGCAGCATCACGACGCTGTCTCTGGCACTGCCAAGCAGCACGTGACCTTCGACTATGCCAAGCGCTTGGCCAAAGGAAGGCACGGCAGAATATGGTAGAGTCTAAAGAGTCTCAAGGATGCTCTGTAGATGATCTGTAGATGTGACCGTTTTTCCAGACACCGCTTGCTCTGCTCAGGGCAGCTGCCATGCCGGGAATCTCTGCAGCTCTTGGACGACTCACCCAAGCTTCAGAAGCATCTCCAGAAGCCCAGTCAAAAACAGAGTTTCATGTGCTTGGAATGCCAGTCTAAAGCGGGTTGTGGCCGAAAGCGTTCGACGAAGGAGCTGTTCTTCTGTGACTTGCGCAATGTGTCGGTGTGTGCTCCAACTCAAGCCGTCGGAAAAACCAGCCAGAGGCAGGCCAGTGTTTGGCTGTAGGGGTTTTGCGGGGCTCGGAAGGGTCATGTCCGTTGAAGGATTTTGCGTTGAGAAGCAGTGTTGCGCTCCTTGAAGCCCTAGTGCCTTCAACGTAGGATGCTTAACAAATCTGAACCAGATGCACTTGTTGGCTCAGAGGACATGCTTTACGCTTTGGAATGGCTTGGGCCAAGAGCGCGAGGACCCGTTGCATGCAAAGTGAAGGGTGTAAAGCGAGTGCTGCAGTGGTCGGCTTTTAGAGCGGTCAGGTGCAGCTCTGTGCGATCCTGTGCGGCTGCGCTGAGTGTGAGTTGTCGTTGTTTTGCCAGAGGAGCTCATTGAACTTCCCGTTAGCAGTGACAAGGTGGAGGTCGTGCCAGGCTCTGGCAACGAGGCGAGTGCCAAAACCAGCCAGCCACCTGACGGCCACCTGCATGAAGCTGGACGTTGCCGTGTCCACGGCTGGCTTCCCTGAAAGGCCGTGCAGTTCCAGCTGGTTGAGTCGTTGCCATCCGTGACAAACTACGGTGCTCCAGCAGGATACAGTGGGCTGAGAGCGCCCACCTTTGTCTGAACATTGTTGCATCGTGTTGCATCTTTCGTGTGCAGAGTGCACAGTGTAAAGCGTGCAGCACCCAAAGAGGAGGAGCTGCTCAGACGCTCCTCGTGGCCATCAAGCTGCCGGCCATGGGACATGCAAGCTATTGCCTTCAGACTGCAGGCGAGTGTTACCTCATCATGGTGCCGGGGGCAGATCAGTATCTGCACACTTGCCGATGAGTAAGGTTCAACAGCATTTTCCAACTCTCCCGTCCCGGGCAGGTGTTGCAGCACCGAAGGCGACTCTCGCAAACATTTCTCAAGGAAGTTGTCAGGCCAGCTCTGCCTTTGAAGGTAGCATTTGGGCTGTAAACAACCGAAGCACAAGCTTTCAGGCCTTGGAGAATGAAAACTTGAAGCTGTGGTTCTGCGGTGGCACCTTGGTGGAGAAAGAGTCTGTCGATGTCCAGACCGATTCTCCACGGTGGCAGTTGCAGGTATGATGGCGAACATCACCGATAAGCTCAGCAAGACGTCTACTCGAGCTGAGCAATCGTGGATGTGGTACAATGCTACTTGACGCGATGCCAGCATTTCATCAGAACCACGTTGCGTTGGTAGCCACGGGTCGCCGCTGGTAGCCGAGGCATCGCTTGGGAATGCGGCGAGCTCCCAGGCCAGCGGTGCCTACATCTTCCGGCCGAACCGCTCCGAGGACTCCCCATGTCTCCCATGCTGGCAGTTTCAAGCATTGAGAGGGAAGCCATGTTCTCGCGCAAAGAGGCGTTTCCCGTCTTCACCGGCTTGCCTTTCATGCGGGTCTTCCGCGGGCCTCTTGCCGACGAGGTGCAATCTGCGAGGGCTCCTGAAAGCTTGTTCACGCTGGCTTGCACGCTGGAACTTTTGTGTCTTTTTCATGAGGTGCATCAGGCAGTGGGTTCATGGATCTCACAGCGGACTCGCCTGGCACGTGGTGCAAGGCACGTGGAGATTACATACACTGTAAGCCACCTGGTCGCACCTAGAATCCCATGGGCACGGGGGGCCATGGGCACCGGGGGGGTCTGAAATCATGAAGAAATTAGCTTGAAGCTTGAACTTGATGAGGTGATATCCCGGTGGATGATGGGTGGGGGAAGGAGATTGTCCTGGCCTCATCCTCTTGCCAAGTCTTGCTCGCTCTTGCCCACTCTGGCCCATCAATGCTGGTCAGTTTCCACGAGGTTTCCCGGATAAGCACCGACATCAAAAATGACGGCACTTGCTACACCGATAGCAATGGCCGGGAGATGTTGCAAAGAAAACGTGCCCTGGCAGGATGCTCGATTCAGCATTGCATTGTGGGCTTCAATGCTCGGCCCAACTGAGGTGATTTCCGGCCAACCTGGAAATTGAACCAAACCGAGCCGGTTGCAGGCGCCGGCTGTGACAGGAGGGAAGCCCTCATGGTGTTGTTCGCACCGATGTCGGAAGGCAATTACTACCCGGTGACAACATCCCTTTTCATCAGGCGCCTTGTCCGCATGCGATGTGAGATGCGGCAAGCTGAAAGCAATGAAAGCTCCTGCGAGGGACCAGGCAGCCCAGCTCACCGTGCTCACGGATGTTTCAGAGGCCCCCGTTTGTGGTTGCACAAAAAAGACAGTACAAACAAGTTGTGCATGCTGGCCACTCTCCAAAGACAAAGAGATATCCGAGATCCCAAAAGAAAACTCCCCTAAAGGCAGTTGCCTTGCAGGCCGGCACCGGCTGTGTACGAGACGGGGAGATTGAACTCATGGTGCACCGGCGGCTGCTGAAGGACTTGCAACGACTTGCAACATCCATCCTTGGCATTTTGGGAATCTTTTGCATTTTGAGCCCCGCATCCACTTTGCATCCTTTCGCCCCTCCCCCTGCTCTCGAAGCAGGACGATGGCCGCGGCGTCGGTGAGCCTCTGAACGAGACGGAGTTTGTGACACCCTATCTGGGAAACGACCAGGGCCGGCACTACGGACCGGGCCTCGAAGCTCGGACATGTGAGCTTTTTTATGGAAAGCCATAGGAAAGATCCTTTACAATATCTGTGCGTTTCCCATAAACTCTTGTGTGTGTTTTTTGCACACATTTTTTTGTTCTCTCTCTCTCTCTCATGTTGGACAGCACGGCGATGAGCTGTTGTTGTTGGAAGGAATTGGGGCACGTGGAACCTGACGGGCCCCCGCTTTTTCTCTCCACACGCCTCGAGGTCGTTCGCGGCCAGCATTGGCTGCACTTTGCGCCGCCGGCCACAGCAGCGCGTGGGTGGCGACCTTTGATGGATCGCCTGTACCTTCCCGTTCAGCCCTTCTTCGGGAAAGGCGCAAGACGAGCAGTCACTAGCGCGTCGCAACTTGTAGCTTGCAATGTAGCTGCTTAGCACCAGGAATGTCTTCGCATGTGGTAGCCCTGCCACTGGTGGCACTGTTGCTGCCTTCGCTGGAGGTGCAGCTACCGGACCCTTTTCTGCTTTGCCGGGCTCGCTGCCGCCGAGCTTGCAGGCTGGAAGCGCCGCCTGGGGACTGGGAAGACGCCGTCTGCCGATTTTTCTCACGGTTGGCCATAGTTTGCGCGTGGCTTTTGGGTCTGGGATTTTGTCTTGGCTTTGCCCTGATGAGGTGATCACGCTTGCACCTTGGGATGATACGCACATTCTCCTTCGAATTGGGCATCAGTTTGGTATCGGCGAGGACATCGTGCAAAGAACATGTATCTTCAGATGTCTTCAGCTTGACCATGGGTGATCTCAGTACCGGGCACCTGGCCCCTGAGGACTCCGAGCTATCCAAGCCAGTCTCGGTCGACATAAAGTCCCTTTTGATAGGTCGCGCTGCGAAGAGCATGTCCTCTGACAAGTGTGACAAGAAGCTGCCAAAGAAACTGACCACCTGAGACGGACCGAGAGAATGCCCTCAGGTGCAAAGGTCGTTTCCATCGAGGAGCGAGGACTTGCTGCAACGATCACCAAGGATGAGGTCGAGTGCCTTGCCGAAATGACTTACAGATGTACTATTACTCTTCGCTCCTTCGACGTTTCTCGGGTCTAGTTCTGCATACCGTTCATGCTGTCCATGCCGTCCGTGCATGTCCTGAAGGGAGCAATCCCGCAAGCCCGAGCAAGCCCCCACCACCGCATATCATAATGGTTCGTTGACTTGCCTGAGTACTGTAAGTCCCGCTTCTCCTCTCTTCCGAAACATGTTCCAGACGTCTGGGCCAAAAGAAATAATTATCGCCGAAAACACTATTCCTTTGCTTCAAGAGAGAGCGGAAGAGAGAACTGCGGAGGAAGCGCCGCATCGCTTGGCAAGTGGAGGGGCCAACTGCGGCATCGCCGGCACCGCCGCAATCCGAATTCAGCTTTGGCCCGCTTCAGATCAGGAGAGCACAAAAGAAAACGGCATGTAGTCGCAGACGGCATGTAGTATGTTTACGTGTTTTTGACGTAAGATAGCGCGTGCAAATTTGTTGTTTTATTTGGAGTCCTTCTTCTGCACAAACAGCAGAGAGAGTTCTCACCATGGGCAAACATACTGTGTGCAGCAGCGGCCAGGACCTTCTTCGTTCAGATTGCCCGGAGGGACATGGCCATGTTTATTTGACGGGGCTCCGTGTACCGGGCCGAGGCCACGAGATGCCGATTCCGCAAGGAAGAAAGGGCGGAGACTGTGCTGTTTGTGCTGTTTGTGCTGTTTGATTGCTCTGCGGAGGCTGCGAGGTGGCGCCACTTCGTGCCATGGCTCTCGAAAGAGCGTGACAGAGTACAGCCGCTTTGAAAGCTATTGACTGTCCCCGCGCTCAGCGCGATGTTTCGACGGGGTCGCGTGTACTTGTCTATACGAGAAACGATTGATGGAGTTGCGGGTCTCCATCGTGAGAGGCTTCAGATGTGCCGATTGGGCAATTTGAAGTCTTGTGAGTTTAGTCGCTTCGTCGATTCCTAGGCGCAGGGCACCAGGCCCTAGCGATTAAAAAGAAAGTGTATTGCCATGCTCTGGCGACTGCAAGAAGCAGGATCCCTGTGCTCAACGATTGTATAAAATTAGATTGCTGTAAAGCTTTGCAGGTCGAAGCTCTTAGGAGGCTGGGGGGGAGGGGTGAAGCTTGCCTTTAGCCTTTGGGTCTGTGGATGCCGAGCCATCCTTGTGCAGGAAGTCTGGGCAGGTGCCCAGACCAGAGCTGTCCTCCCTGGGAGCTCGCGCAGCCTGGTTCCGATGCTCAGAAGACTGGCCGTGTTGCAAGTAGCTGCGCCGATGTCCCACACTCTCAGGGGCAAGGAGCGTCCGACCGGGGCGCAGAGGCTGTTTCTGACCGCAAGTAGGACTGCAGATGCAGCTGATGTTGTTGTGCAGAGATGCAGGTGGGACATCGTGCCGCATTATTGCCAGGCCAGGTGGACAAGCTCATATAACTCTCTGTAGATGTTCTTTTACTCAGAAAGCACATATGGATACAGTACGTGGGTGGGTGCATTCGTACTGACAGTGTGCAAGGGACCTACTGTCTGACTGTCTCTGATTTGCGCAGATAGACTCTACAGAAGCACAGCACTGGTGCCACTGCGACGGATCCCTTCGGAGCGTGAGAGGTGGTCCAGGGTCGGAGAGCCGAACACGGTGGCCGCGGCTGGCTCCAGGCAGCTGCGTAGCTCTGCGTGGCTCCGCGTGGCTCTGCGTGGCTCTCTGTTGCTCAGTGTGCCCGTGTTTTGTGCTCGAGAGATCTGCAGTTATCAGATGTTATCATTTTTGTAGGTAAGGAGAAGCGCCCTCCGTTAGGAGCATGCCCAACAGGCTAGATCGCATACCTGCACGTACAACCACACGTTTGCGTACACGTACTTGCACACGTACATGCACACGTACATGCACACCTACACGTACACGTACATGAACACACACACACACACATGCAAAAAAACATACAGATAAATGAGTAAAAGCACAAAATGTGTAAATATGCGAACATATATATATATATATACATACATATACAAACCGCATCATACGATTGGGGACAAAGCATCATGAGAGAGCATGTGCATCGTGAGCATCCGATGTTCAGCAAGCATGATGATCCTGCTGGCAATGTCGCAAGAAGAGATCGAAGCATTTTTGCCGGGCAAAAACGTGGTTTGGAGGGCCCGGTGTAGAGGCAGACATGAAACCAAAAATGCAGGAAACAAAATGGGGAGAGGAACTACAACAAGAAGTTAAAGCCGCTCGTGGCAGGCTTGCATTTAAGTCGAGATGGGCTCAGGCACGGGAGGCCGCAGTTTAGAGGTTTCGGGGCCTGCAGAGACCACGATTCAACAGTTTCAGGTCCTGAAACCTCCAAGCTGTGGTGTTCTGGGCCCGAGCCCCTGGGTATTGTTGTGATCGTGTTGCTGTTTCAAGCGTTGTTGTCGTTGTTGTTGAATGTTGTTGTGGAAACAGCCTGTCTCCCGCGTATACCATGTACATAGACCAAGACATATAGATAGAAAGGCAACATGCAGAGCTGTCCCTGGGGTACTCAGTACAGATTTGTCAGACACCCCCACCCCCCCCCCCCATCCCCAACCCCTGCCCTACCCCTGTGCTTCTTGCAAGGCTCACTCCCTTCCCCAGCAAGTGTCGCGTGGAATGCACGAGCGTGAAAAGTGTCATTTGCAACGTGCAGAAAGAAGTCCTACACCTGCGACCTTCCAAACCCCACAAGCCAAGCCAACGATGAGGTTGAATACTCGAACAAGTGCGTTCCAATACCTAGGCGTGGCGCGAGATCCTGTGTTTGAATTGACTCATCCTGGTCCTCCAAACATGACGCTTTCCTGGATTCCTAAGCACGCAAGCTTCCACGCTTGCAGATAAGCGGAGACGCCCTAAAGAAATCGAAAAGTCGAAAAGTCGAAAAGTCGAAAAGTTGTCGACTTTTCGACTTTTCGACTTTTCGGGTCTCGCCGGGACTTTTCGGGACTTTTCGACTTTTCGTGGCTTTTCGGGCTTTTCGACTTTTCGGGGCTTGTGCACTTTTCAAGACTTTTCTACACTTTTCGACTTTTCGGACTTTTCGGGCTCATCCCCCTCAGGACTTTTCTGGACTTTTCGACTTTTCGTGGCTTTTCCGGCTTTTCGACTTTTCGGAGCTTGTGCACTTTTCGAGATTTTTCTGCACTTTTCAACTTTTCGGGCTTTTCGGGCTCATCCCCCTCAGCCCTTCCGACGACACACACACACACATCCTAAACCAGTGCTATCATAAATCTACAGCCGCTCCGAATTTAAGAAGGCCTTGTAGGCTTCGCCGCGTGGATCTTACATGCGACAGCCTCAACGACGTGCCTGGGCAGCCTACATACATCCGGAGAAGACACTTGGCGATTATCTTTAGACCCAGGGCCTTGAACCCAGATCTCCAAGAACAATGCTTCAGAGTTTAGAGCCTATGGAGTTTAGACATTCAGGCTTCAAATAGTCCAGGTGAAGAGTTTACAAGAAAGATTATTGAAGCAAGAAAATTAAGGGTTGAGCGTTAGGAAGAGTTCCACTATTCAAAGACAAGGTTACAGAGTTAGTTGTTCAGAGCACTTTATCTCTAGACCCTAACCTGCACCCAGATTTCCAAAGAAGTTCAGAGCTACAAGCTCATACCACCCCATGCCAGGATTAGTGCAACGTACCCAGAGATCAAACGCTTCAGAGTTTAAAGCTTATGGTGTTGAGAGGTTCAGAGTTCAGGGTCAAGGCTCGGAGCTTTAGACATTTGTTATGCGGGTTAAGGATCATAAAAATATGGGTTAAGGGATAAGAAGAGTTAGACTGTTCAGGGGCAAGGTTAAAGAGTTAGTTGTTCAGAGCACCTTCAAGGCCAACTGCCACAAATTTAGTATCTTCAAGTACGACTCTGAATTTTGAGGTAGATTCAAAAACAAACCAAACATCCAAAACCCTATGATTCCTACTCAGTGAAACTCAGGCCTTTCCTGGGCCAGCGGCCCGAAATCTACAAGTTCTAAAGCTTCTTGACTCCCGAGGTGAGGCTTGAAGGTTATGCTTTTAGAGCTCAGCTTCCAGGACGACTGCGTGTCCATCCAGTCCGTGCCCCCCAAGCCCCCCCCCCGCCCGAACCGCATAAACAACAATGCTGGGTTCCCGGCACTTCACCTTACAACTTCTAGAAGAATGTGCTTTGCCCACTTTTCCGCCTTTCGACATTTCGGCTTTTGGACATTTCGGGACTTTCAGACTGCTCGGAACGTTCAGGATTGTTCGAAAATATTCATGCTTTCGACTTTTCCTACTTTTCGGGATTTTCACAACTTTTCAACTTTTCGACTTTTCGACTTTTCGACTTTTCGGCTTTTCGGCTTTTCGGCTTTTCGGCTTTTCGTTTTTTCGGCGACTTTTCGTTTTTTTCGGCGACTTTTCGGATTTTTCGGTACTAATCCCGCATTTTCGACTTTTCGACTTTTCGCCTTTTCGCGCTAAGCTTGTGCCCCAATCAACTTTTCGACTTTTCGGGTTTTCGGCTTTTCGGGTTTTTGTGGGCGGACTCCACTTGCGGCCGCGGACAGCCGTTCGCAATCACAGATTCCAAGATGACATGTTATCCTATCTTCAGGCTTCGCGACGTGGTGTCAATCTGTTCGTCTGGGCAGCCAACTTTTTACTTGTCTATCGGCTCTTGGTCTTAGAAAGTTGGGTGACCACCTGCACTGATTGCAGCCTCTGCAGCGTTGATGAACATTAGGATTGTGTATGTTTGTCTCAGTGCGCCACATGCGTTGTTCCACGGCTTGCCGGAGGTGACCACCCGCATGGCTGCCGAGGTGCCAGCTTTTTCGAGGAAGCAGCAGGTCCTGAAGGAGTTTTTGTGCGAGTCCGAAACCTTCAGCCAGGAAACCTGGACCTTGAAAGGAAGGTCCGAGCATGCACCGCGGGCACGGCTCCAATCCAGAGCCAATTGGGCTTGTCGCGGTGAGCTTAACGAGCCCAGGTCCGCGAGCACTTTGTGGTGTTCGAGTTGCCTCGTGAAGCAAGCGGGGTGGCAGAGGAAGCGTTTCCTGTTCGACCTTTGTATACCTTTGTCCAGACATGAAGCTCTTGTGAGAAGCCGCTCCGGCCCAGGACTTTCGAATCGCCGCTGTCAAGCCCGGTGTGCCTGCGGAGTCAACTTGAGCAGAAGAAAAGGGGCTGCGTTCCAGTTGATGACAGTTGGTGCACCGCTCTTTTTTGGGGCACATTTTTTGCAGATGCTGGTTTCGGCCAGGCGCAGAATGTGAAGCTGGCACAGCTCCAGGCAGGTCGCTAATTGGTGTCATTCAGCCAGAAACGTGAACATTGAACATCATGCAGGCAGAACTCCAGCGCACATCGCAGGCCCTGCTCAGATTTCGTGTTCTCGGCATTCACCTCTTCCCATGGCACAATCTGAGCAGGCGCATGTCGAAGAGCAGCGGAAGGCTGCCGACTTGCAGGTCTCCTTTGGCGATGCTTGGATTCTAAGCAAGAGTCAACGGCTTGGATGATGTCGTCGTATGTAGGCGTACGTACAGCTTGTTGTTCATTGGTTTGCTTTTCTTGTTGTGGCGATGGCATGAGGTACCCCGCCCACAGGCTTTGTCACACCATTCTGGTCCTTTGTGAAGACATGAGACTTTAGGGTTTAAGGTTTAGGGCCCTTAAAGGGGAACCCTTCTCAGCCCTCTTCTGCCTCTCTTAAACAGGGACCTTATTGAGTGGGTCTATGTCCCCAAGAGTCCCCCTAGCCCTATCTGCTTACTGTTGTTCGCCATGACGGCGCAGTTTCTGGGCGAATCGTCTGCTGGCCTTGCTCAAGACTGCCACAGTAGGAACATGGCAAGCAAATGAATTCTGCAGATTGCCCAGTGCTGTGGAGTGTCAAGCTGCTACAGAACTGGAAACACACAATTGCTGCACAATGCAACCAAGATCAGAGGGCACACGCAGCCTCACGGCAGTAGTGCAAGAGCAAAGAGTCAGCTCAATCTTGCAGCAGCTGCGTCGTGTGGCCTCCTTATTGGTGGGCCGCCCATGAAGCACTGATCAGTTCGGAATCTCGAAAGTTTTGTTTGCAGATCTTTTGTCACGTAGCTGAGGTCACTGAGCCAGCTGCCAGCTCGCGATGGGCCGTTACAGGATGCATTCTTCTCCTTTGATGTAGTCGAATTCTCTTGGCACTGTGCGTTGAGTTTGGGTTGATAGCTTGCTTCACAGCATCCGGTGTGGATGGCACATGCATTTCCGAAAAGGGTGATGGCATCCGATTTTGGGATATAGAGGGTGTGTGCTTGTGTGTGTGGCCGTTGGCAGCAAATGGACCAAGTTTCATGTCCCATACCGTAACACCAAAGCCCGACGTGCTTTTGGCTCGAAAGTCGCTTCTCGGAGCGGAGTCGGTGCGAGCTCTAGACACAGGCACGTCGGGGAGCTGATTTTGTGTGCAGATGTGCTTTCTGCCGAGTTTTGTTGAGCTGCTACCCGTTGCCGTTACTGCTTGTTGGCTGCCATTGCGCTAGCGTGGGCCTGGCCGGTCTTGGCTCCAGAATAGATAGTTTCGGATGGTTTCAGAGGTTGCATGTGGGGTTGTTTAGCGCGTGCAGAAGCACGAGGTGTCACATGGAACAGACGCACAGCCAACACGTCAAGTCAGGTAGAGGAGTTCAAGGCACGGTGAGGACTATTATGAGGTTACCACAGATAGAATGGCATGCATCCCGCTGCGATGCTCTTGCTTCTGTTCGTGGTCCAGTGCGGTCTTGCTGGGGGGCATGTTGACTACTACTTGGCACAATACGTGGCCGACGTATGCGTGGCTGGGGTGAACTGCTCCTTCGAGGAGGTCCGACCAAAGGCGCTCTGAGCTTGACTTGGCCTCTGCTTGGGTTTCCCCGGCTGCGTCCGCGACGGCGTCCGCGACTGCGTCCGCGACTGCGTCCGCTCGTTTTTTTTCTCCAGTGCAGGGACGGCACTTGGCTGCCGTCAGCCCCGGGACTCTAGACTTGGTCCAGGCAGGTTTTGTGGGGCATTGCCGGAAGTCCTTCCCCTCATGTTGGCCCTACGCTTCCACAAGGACCCGCTGGACCCGCTGTCCATGCAACCGCCAAGCAACTACCCGAAAAAGTTCTTCTGCGGAGCAGGGCGCCTTGGCTGCGCATTATTTCAGGCAGTTTCAAACCGAAGCACTCGACAGTTCCGAGGAAGAGGTTGCGGCGAACTCGAGAGCCCGACTGGAGACCAGCCAGAGCCGGCCGAGCCAATAAGATTCTTGGACGAAGTGAGACGAAAGGTGCTTAGAACGATTACAGAGGTACAGAGTGGGAAGAGTTGCAGAGAGTGGCAGCAAGCATTTGGATCAGGAGAGAGGCGTGGATGATCGCCCTGGGGGATTGGGGCGCTACGACATGCCCATATGAGCACCGAGCTCACTTGCCACACTTGCGACCCTGTCACCGCTTTGCGCTCTGAGCATTCTGAAAATTCCTGCAACTTGAGGACCTGGGATGAGTTCATGTCGAAGTGCGTCAAGTTTATCGTCAACGAGCGAAAGCGTGGCACCAGCTGGACAAACATTTACCAAAGAGCAGGCACCTCTCAGTTTTGCTAGCAAAGAGGGATCTATGCGTAGAGTCCTCGAGGCTACCTTCGATGCGGCTCTCTTCACCACCTCTGTACGTTCGACCCCGGGATGTGGCACACGCGACTTGGCAGATAAAGGCAACAGGGTCCCAAGTTGAGCCGCCATGGCCGCCATGTTTGTTTCCGAGCAGATGTCGACAGAAATTCAAAATTGTTGCAACCAGAGGCCAGATTGCGATCCCGAGCAGCCGCGCTTTTGGAAGCATGCCTTTGCGCAGCAACCTGACAGCGCTCAGTGCAGTTGACATGACTGTAGACGTGCTTAGCCTCATCGTAGCCTGTCCCGTTTCTTGAGGCCAATGTGAGGCATGCTCAGCCGAAGAATGAATCAAGTACCTACGTATGGGCCTATAGTCTGTTGCCAGCATGCCGGGTGGGTGAGTGGTGGGCGTATCCGGCGAGGTATAGAGTCGCCGATCAGATGGCAAAGTCTGCCGATCAGGTGGGTGGAATAGATGCGGCGTCTCGGCATCATTTCTCAGGTTCCTTTGCCAGTTTTTATTGAGTTGAAGCATCACTCACAACTTTGCCAAGCTTCCCATCAAGGTGCTTTCCGTCGGAGATAACTTCTACCTCCGTGGAGTGCTAGATGACACGGACCTCAACTGGCGCTACATGTGCGACAGCAAAGACTCATGCACAGGACATGCATTGCTCTTCATGCTTGCCAGGTTTGAGGACGTCTACCACCATTCCGCCCTTCACGTTCCCTGGATCAGCGTGCCGCGGCAGACGGACCTCCTCTATTAAAGTCTTGAGGGTCACGCAAGCTGTGCCGGTGGGTGGGTAGGATCCGTGTTGCAGCTTGTTTTCTCCCGCACTTTTGCAGTGCTGAGTTTGTTCGGAGAAAGATTTTCTGTGAATCAATTGTGTCTCTTCGTGTCTCTTTGTGTCGGAACTGAGCGGATTTTTCAGGCTCAGTGCTGAGAGCAGAGCCAAGGCACTCGGAAACCATGACTACGGCGGGCACGAGTGCGGAGCTTGGTGCCTCCTTTAGCAAGGCTCAGAGCCCCCCCGGTCTTCCCCCACTCTCGTCGGAAGTGATTCTTTCAGAGGTGTGATGGGTGCCTCATCGAAGGCGGCACTGGAGGCTGTAGTGGTGCGCAGATCGATTACGACAACAACAAGACCTGGGAATTCCCTGTAGCTTGGCGCATGCTGGATCTGTGTGGGGCATGCTTTTGAGACCCTGAAGAGAGAGCTTGTTGCCCAGGCTGCGAAGCAGCATCTCGGCAAGAATACATGCTAAGACATGTAACTCATGGTTGTGAGGCTGTGAGCCATTGAATCCCGACTTGTCCTCGCAAGAAAAGGAAGCGCTGGGTGATGCCTCACCGCTTCTACAAGAAGCGCTTCAAGTACCAGGCACAGATTGAATCCATGTCCTTGCACGTGCAGTGCGAAAAGATAGGGGGGGGGGGGTTGGCGGTGGCGGCAGGCGGGGGGGGGGGTTGTACGGCTCAGGACTTCGCCATCGATGTCTTTGCCATCGATTCCAATCGTGTCAACCTCCATTCCCTCTGCCACGGGCAATCGCAGATTACCAGTGAGAAAGAATGCGGCCTGGCCGCAGTTTCTCGCAGTACAAACTGCAGGAAGGTTTTTTTCCTCCTCTGCAACATTCCGAATCATTCCGCCCAGGCAAGGAGAAGCAGTGTGAGGATTTCCATGTGAACCTCGAGGTGCAACAGAGGACCCAGCTGTGTCTGGACCCTGAAGCCATGAGCCCCAGCTCTCTTGTAAAGGACTTGGTTGGAGCGTGAGCTGCCGAGATCCGATGCGCAGTGGAGCCTTGGGCGCATTCTGGTGTTTGATTCGTGGAAGCCATCCTTGCGAGATGCTGGGTGGGCGTCTAAGAGTCGTGCCGGATCATGGAGTTGTGATTCGTACTCGATCAACTCATGGCCGCAGTGTACTGATAGCAGAACTCATGGTATCACACTTGAAAAATCTTCGCCATTGTGCGAGGTGCTCCGTTGCTCAACTTTTTCCAGCAGCAAGGTGTGTCCCTGGTGCTGGCTGGGCCACGCGGCGCGAGTATTGGAGTTTGTTTTTGTCCGGTCCCGCGGTGAAGTGATGCAAATAGCCAACCTTAAGCCGACAGCCCAACTCTCCGCAGTTTGCCCCAGCAGGTTGATGATGAACACCAAGATCCGTCTTGAAACCATGCAATGTTGGTTCCACGTGTGGCGTGCTTGTCCAAGTTACAAAGCACAAGTCAAAGTCGCCGATACAGGGGGTGTTGCGCGGAGAGGGTGACGAAGAAAGTTGAAGAATGACCACAGCGCATAGTCAAATAGCAATGCTGAAAGTAAGTAGTCAAAGCACATCCTCGAGCTGAATGCCTAGGCATGTTCACCAGCTTCGGATGGACAAGGTCGGTGATTTGATTTGTGGCATCACTGGAGCTGGCGGAGGCTACCAGTGGAATGGCGGAGGCAGGCCGAGAAAGGCATCTTGAGATATAGCTGTGTGCAGCATCGTAGTACAGGGCATCTGTCCTACACGGTGCGCCAGCGTGGAACTCCTGTCACTTGGCGATACTTGGCGAGTCTGTTCCGCAAGGTGCTTCAGTGCTGCGTCGCATGGAGGCAAGTTATGCCATCGTCATGTGACATTGTCTGTGTGAGGATTATGGTTTCATCTTGCTGAAAGCCACAAAGACTGAAATGACATTGCGCTACCTCAACGATGATGGGGAAGTCTGCCACCCAGCGTGCAGTGTTGGCAGTGTTGCTCTCTAAATGAGTCCTCATTAGACTTGTGGCCGCATGGCCGTGGAGCCATCGCCCAGGCTTTATGGGACGACGTCATCATTGGCCGCGATGCCAGCAATGACAAAGACGAGACCACTACGACAACCGCAGAAACCACAACAAGCACAACTAGCGCCACTACCACCACTACCACCACTACCACCGCTACGACCACTACGACCACTACGACCACTACGACCACTACCACCACCACTGCCCTCAGTACCAGCGCTCAAGATGGTCAAGGCAATGCAACAACCGAGCCCATCACCACTACATCTACCACCACCACGACCACCACCACGACCACCACGACCACCACGACCACCACGACGACGACCACGACGACCACGACGACCACCACCACTACGACGACCAGCAGCAGCAGCAACACCACCACGAAGGACTGCTGAGTGGCGGAAGCGTAGGGTGAGATAGGCAGAGTCCAGGGGCGGCCCATTTGTCAGGATCTCATCCCACCGCTGGCACCGGAGGATCAGGCTGTGTTGGACCTCATCGAGGCTGAGCGGGTTCACGAGCATGAGAGCTTCCCATGGGGAGCGGGTCACATGAAGCTGTCAGCGGTCCAACCCCTGCTACTGACGGGATTGCTTTTCTTGGCCGAGCCCCACGGTGCAACATCGAGTCTGAGTTGTCGGGCGCGACCCGTGCCAGGCGGAAGAGGACAATGAGTTTGACACTGGCTTACCATGCCACTGGGGAGACTGGGAAGATGGCCACCCA